TTTAAATATGTTCAGGGACCATTTTCATCTTCAGAATTAAGGATTAGTTTAATGTTACATCATTGCCTTTTCTCTTTTACTTTCCTTTTTAGTTTTATTTTAGGATTCCCTATTTTTAATGTTCATACAGAGATTTCTTTAACTGAAATACCGAATAGTTTCTCTGGTGTGAAAAACTGTAATAGTACACAGGATCCTAATGAGATAATTAATAATGTGAAATAGGAAGAAAAGGGCTAAAGGTGTGGGCAAAGTGGGAAGGGTGGGGGAAAGGTAATAAGGGAGAGGAAAAAATATGAGAAATTGAAAAAATGGAAATAAAGTGTTTGTAAATGGGGAGGGGAGGAGGGGGTGAAGGGAGGATAGGGTCAAGGGGTAAAAATGTGAATCAAGACCTGTCATGTAAAGGTACAAGATTCCAATAATGAATGTAACTGTATTGTATACCTAGATTGTACCAATAAACTCAAGAAAAAGAAAAAAAATCTGTCTCCAAAGAATGATAAATTAGATTCATTCATAGGAAAATGGATACATATTGAGGATATACTCCTAAGTGAAATAAATAAGTCACTCATGTGTAAATACTGAATAGTTTCTCTGGAGTGAGCAAACTGTAATAGTACATAACATCATAATGAGATAAATGACATTGTGACATGGGGGAAAAATGGCTAAAAGTGTAGGGAAAGTGGGAAGGGTAGGGGAAAGGTAATAAGGGAAAAGAAAAAATATGAGAAAATGAAAAAATGGAAATAAAGTGTTTGTAAATGGGGAGGGAGGAGGGGGTGAAGGGAGGGCAGGGACAAGGGGTAAAAATGAGAACCAAGACCTGTCATGTAAAGGTACAAGATCTCAATAATGAATGGAACTGTACTGTATACCTAAAATGTACCTATAAAGTCAGTTAAAAAAAGAATTTATGATATTTTAAATATTTGCAATATATTTTATAGACTTTGAACAATACTCAACAAAATATTGCTCAATTTCTGCACTATGCTCTTCAGAAACCTCAGTCATTCAGGACAGGGTTTAGTTCAGAGGTGTTCCCCCAAAGCCCCATATGTTTGGAAGATGACTAGATTACAGGAGGTCTAGAGCAGATATACTGTTAGAAATGGGCCCTGGTTCCTTTCTCCACGCTTCCCTTCTTTTTCCACTCCCTGGCCACTGTAGGATGAGCAGCTTTCCTCTGCCCAGCCCTTTCCACCATGCTGTTCCTGCCATACAGGCAGCTACTTATCAACTGAAATCTCTAATAACCATGAGCTCAAATAAACCTCTCCTCCTTTCAATTGCGGGTGTTGGATATTGTGTCTCAGCAAAGAGAAAGTGACTAAGAAAGATTTTGAGAAGTGGGCTGATCACTGTGACTGTACTTGTCCATGAGGTTTAGAAGTTGTTGGAACTGGTTCACAGGAGTTTGGAAAAATTTAGAGATGCTATAAGCAGAGCTTGATGAGGGCTCAGAAAACCAGAATGCTGATAGAAATGCAGACAGAAAGCCCAGGATCAGGGGTTTCAGCTGTGAACAAGGACTCCATTCGCATTTACTCAAAATCATATGCATTACATTCTGTCTGAAATTTTTTTGTTTGTTTTGCTTATGCCCTGAGACTTTTCAGGAGACTAATGAATTAAAGACAGCAAACTAATTAATGTGGAGGAGAAAATTTCAAGGCAGCCCAATGTTTGGGCTATAGCATGGATACTACTTGTTGCTTTCAGCAAGATCTACAGAGAAAGAGAAGCAAAAAGCCATTTAAAACATTTTCAGTTTTGGCAAAAAGTGCCTGCAGAGTTTGAGCAAAGGAAGACACTGTTGCTAAGAAGATCAGCATTAGAAAGAAACCAAGTACTTTGCATCAGGACAATAAAATGATTTAAAGCCAATGTCAGGAATCAAGACTCCACCCTTCCTTGACTCAAAGGTGTAAAAAAGTAAAGGTGAACTCCTTTAAAAGACTTTGTTTTGCGAATAAAGCCCCAGGGCAATCTGGTAGAGAAGGGCTACCTAGGGAACTGTTTCCCTGTGATTTATTTTATAGTATTCAGCCATCTTATCACTTGGAGGCCTCTACAGCCATGATCTAAGCAGACCCAGCCATGGCTCAAGCTGGTGGCAGACCTTGGCATTATCCATGTGGTGCTGGTTTCACAGGCATGCAGAACTTAAGAGTTTGGGGTCAGTGAGGCTTCCACTCATACTTCAGAAGAAGGCCTGGGAGAGCTGTCAGTGTGCCCCTGGGAGGGCAGTGTGTGAAGCTGTAAGAGTGAAGCCAAAAGTGGAGTGGAGACCACAGGAAATTGGAGAAACCAGGAATGTGAGGTATCTGCAGAGGAAACTACAGGAGATGAGCAGAGCTAAGCCAAAAGAGAAATCATAATGGGAGCACATGTCTTGCCACAACTTGTGCTGGGTACTGGATATGGAACTGTAGGATTCAATGCTTTCTCTGTTGGATTTTGATCTTCCTTTGGTCCCATTCCTTTCAGTCCCTCTACTTCTCCTTTTTGGAATTGGAATGTTTACCCTGTGTCATTGTATGTTGGAAGTTTAATTGTCTTTTAATTCTCACAGGAGCTCACAGTTAAGAGTTTGCCTTGAGTCCCAGCAGAGACTTTGACTTGGACTTTTCAGCAATACTACACCTGATGGAATAAATACACTTACATAAAGAAATAGACATGAGTCTTTATATCTCAATGATGAAAAAGTAATTAGACAATTTATTCAGAAAGAACATTTATTTAATACTTACATTTTGCCAAATATGTGTGTCTCTTGAGAAAGACAAATTATCTGAAGCCTCAAATGTATTCTTTAATTTTATATGAGTAAAATCTGGCATTGACTCAGACCAACCCAACACTAAAAAAAGATAAGAATTGACCAAAACCCAACAAATGAAGGTAACAGAAGTAACCCCACAGGAAATCTAGGTGATAAAATTAACAGATATCAGCCTTGAAACAGCCACAATTAATATGTTAAGAAAATGACAAGAATTTTAACCAAGAATTGAAAAATCTAAATATTAGACAAATATAGCATGTATAACTGAAAAATGAAACTAAGAATAAAACAAAGTTCTTAAAAGTGGATTATGCATAATTATTCAGAGAATTAATGAACTGAAAGATAAATCAATATACACATTCAAAATTAATCAGAGAAAAAGGAAGGAAAACAGAGAAAATAATGTTTTTAAATATATGTAATGTCTCAGACTCCACAGGATGTACAAGCACTTGGGAGACTGGCAGCATCTACTAAATCAAATGCACGTATACCCAGTGTATTTATACCCAGTGACTCAGAAATGTCACTAACAGTCATACTCCTAAGTGAGAAAATGTACACGTGTGCAGTAGGGCTTTCCTCTTATAGACTAGAACAACTGATTTAGGAAAAATAAATTCCTACAGCTCTGTCTATCCATCTGCTGAAAAAACTTATTATATTCCAACTGAAACAGAAGCCAAATACAAATTTAGGTTGGTACAATATGCAAATGTTCTTACTCACATGGCTATAGCTGAACAGAATGGGATCTAAAGCATTTAAGGAAGTAGATTGTGGCACAACCCTAGAAGTTAAACTCCAAAGAATGTGCTGATGATCATAGACTAAAAGCTCCCTCACTTATGCTAATTTGCCTCAGAAACATTTAAATTGCAATAAAATTTACCTCACTGAGCAGTAACATTACTAGCTAGAGAATTCAGGAGCTTACTCTATTCACCCCTAATACTTAGACAGAATCATGTCAGCCTTTCCAGAAAAGGAAGTCCAGATGTGACAAGTGGTAAGTAATTATTTATCTTTATTCATTTTATTCTATATTATTCTTTCATATTGTTATACAATGACTGTCATATTTTATATAAAATGTATCTCTCAAAAGCTTTATGTGTTTGAGGAATGGAAGGAGAGACAGAGAGGTGAGGAGAGGGGGAACTAAAAAGAACTAAGATGTGATGTGTATATGTACCAACTCAGTTCAGTAGCTAAATGTGCTATTGGGAAGTAGGGGTTGGAGGGAGGTGGGCCACTGAGGGTGTGACTTTGAAGGGTGTACTCCTGTCCCTAGCTCCTCCTAGCCCGCTGGCTTCCTAGCTGCCATGGGTTTAGCACCTCTTCCTGTGTCAGGTCCCTCTGCCATCCTGGGAATACCTTGGAGCTAGCTGTCCATAGACTGCAATCATGAGGCAAAATAAATCTCTCCTCCTTTAAATTGTGGGAATTAATATAAGAAAATGAAAAATAATGAAAACAAAGACTTTGTAGATAGGGAGGGAGGGAGGGGTTAAAGAGAGAGCAGGGAAACTGGGAAAAAATAAGAACCAAGATTGATTATGTAAAGGTACAAATTTCTAACAATGAATGTTATTATATTGTATACATTAAATGTACCAATAAAGTTAATTTAAAAATTGTGGGTATCGGGTATTATGTGTGAATGACAGGAAGGTAATTTAGAATAAACAAGACCACTCACTCTGACAGTGCATTTCCCCAACAACCCACTGTAAATCTTCTCCACATCTGGCAACGGAGTCTCCAACAAGAGAATATCCTTCATTGCAAGTGTATACTATGTTTTTCCCAACAGAAAATATGACATCTTCACTCTAAACAAAAATAAAAATGGAAAAAGATTGGGTTTGTTTATTATGCATTAATAAAATGTATCTTTTTGTTTTATTTTCCCTATAAATCATAGCTTCTTTTAGTCATCAGAAAAAGTGGAGGGCATGGAGTAAGCATCAATCTTTCTTTTTTTTTAATTCCCTGGATAACTCTATCTGGACAGCTTGTATGACAGTCTTTGAAGACCCTGCCTTGGAATCTGGGATAGCAACAGCCTCATGGTTCCAAGATAAAAGTTTGCTGGGCTTCACGCTCTGAAGTTCTTTTCCGCAGAACTCCATAGATTGTGATGCCTACTATGGGACAGTAGGGGCACGAGATGACAAGGTCTCATTCTTTTTTTCCACAGTACCTACATTTGGGGAATTGTCAGCAGCTCTCAGTGGTCATATATGCTCAAGAGCCTGGAGTTTAAGAGGAAAAATTCCTTCATCACACAAGAATGACAGTACTCAGAGAATACTGATCAGTGATATCTTCTGTGTGAGTCATGATGAAACTTTACTGGAATTTGGAAACCAAGATCTCACCACAAGAAAAACTGAAAATATCCCTGAGTAATATAGTCCCATACTCAAATTAAGTCCCTAATGCCAGATGTTGGTGTTCCTTCCTGAACTAGGAAACTGTGCAGGGACCTAGATCTCAACACAAACGGCCTAAATGTCTTTTGACTCCTGGAATGAATCTAATACTTTATCCCAAGTCTCCCATTTATCATTTTTTAAAGACTATTTTCATTGATAATAATAAGGAAAGTTCTCTAAGTTGAAGGTTAATTTACAGGTTCTTTTTTTAAAAATTCAGAGTGACAATGTTTAGTAGCCCTCTGGCATGACTGCATTTCTAATTCAATGGGTGACAGTATTGATTTCCCGCAACACAAAAGGTATAGTGACTTCTGCAAAGTTTGAATCACCTTGGGCCAAAAAAATAACAGTCACAAATGAATGCCTTCATCATTAAAATTAAAATTCACGTAAATTTTTAGGTCTATTTCATTATGGAGGAAGGATATAGATAATGACCCAATTATACAGAATAGATCTTAGATACAGAACTTAGAATGTTTTAAATATATATTTTTTTCATAACCTACTTGAACAAATCCATCTTTCAAGGCAGGAGGTGATGAACAGAATTCTTTTGGGACCAAAGACAAAGGAAAGCAGTGTGGTTCAAGTAATCTGAAATGGGGAGGGAGAATGATTAATATGATTGAATTCCACAACTTAATTAATATTTTGTACTACATTGAATTTTTCCTTTGTATTTTAAGGCATGATAAACTCATTAAAGTACTATTTTTTTTCCTCAGAAACAAATATCTGCTCACATCCTATTAAAACTTCAACTTGGTTTTCCAAAAGACAGTGATTCAAATAGATACATGATCACTGTGTGCAAAAACAACCAAAATGAGGGGATGGGGGAGAAGGGGATGGAAAAAACAGATAATTGAGGAGAAAAATCATGATGAAAATAAAGCTTTTGCAAATGGAAAAGGGACCAAATATTACAGGGAGCAGGGAAGGAGAGAAGGGATAGGGGAAAAAATTGAAAAAGAATAAGATACATTGTATCCATGTATCAACTCCCCACAATAAATGTAATCACTGTGTACTGTAAACATGCACTAACAAATAAAAAAGGAAGAAAAAAAGATAAGTCTTTGGACAATGTACCCACTTGATAGGACGTCCACATTCACCAGTTTCAGAACTTACTTTTCTCCTTTTACTGGAATCTGGCATTCCTTTAACACAGAATTAATTTTTTATTCAAAGGGAAGAAATTAGGAGTTAAGGATCCCAAAAGACAGGAAACACAAATTGATAATAACTATCACTAACTAAGGATTTACCATGTGCCAGGCACATGGCTGTTGCTTTACACATGAGGGTCACTCTTTGTTTCTTTCCTTATCCTCTAATTCCCCTCCACTAAGGAGATGGTGAAAAACTTCAAGTCTGGAGGAAGCCTGGAACTGGAAGTGATATTTACATGTTATTCAAATTATCTTATTAGAACTTTCTGTCAAAATCCTGATGAGAAAAGGCTTATAAAAGCAGTGTAAACAATTGGATGTGTCATAAGAAATTCTGGACCAGGATACATCAGATTGACTATGCACTTTTAAGATAGTTTTAGCAAGCTCCTTGAAAATATGAAGTTCATGACACATGACCACAGGGCTAATCAATAAAGATATCCATCTTGAGCATCTAGTTTTATACTTAATCTAAGAATAAGAGGGAATGGTATGTCTGGAAAGTCATACAATATTTGCTAAATGCTTAAAACATGCCAGGCACTGTACTAATTGCTTTATATGATTAATTTCATTTAATTCTTTTTTAATTCATTTTATTGATACATTTAAAGTTTACAATATAGTGACATTAATCATTGGAAATTTTCACCTTTACATAATCCATCATGGTTCTTATTTTCCCCACTCCCCTACCCTCCCTTTAACCCCTCCATCCCTCCCTGTCTACAAAGACTTTGTTTCCACTTTTTCTTTTTCTCACATTAATTCCATTCCCTTCTTTCTTTTCCCCTTAACTTCATTTAATTCTAACAACATCCTATTATAGGTTTACCTACTATACGTACTACTATTATTCATTTTTTTTTTGCTTTCATTTTTTATTGGTAAATGTTTACAGAACATAATGGGTATATCCCTCGTGTGGAGTTGGTATATACACATAACACAGCTCAGTTCTTTCTTTCATCCACTTCCCCCCTCTTCTGCCTCCATCTCTTGGTCCCTTTCCCTTTTGCAAAAGATCTGTTTCCCTATTCCCTATTATCTATTTTTTATTTTGTTCTTTAATTGTTTATTCTTTGCATTTCCCATATAAGAGAAAGCATTGATATTTAAGCTTGGTAATTAGAATGTTAGAGCTATGGCAAGTAATTTAGCCAAGGTTATACAGCAAGTAGGTGGCACATTGGCTTGATGACAAAGCTACTGCTCTTACCCACTCAGACTAACTCCCCATGATGAATATAATCATTATATGCTGCAAACATGTACTAGTAAAATTTTAAATTAAAAATTAGTTAGGCTTCACCTAGCTACCCAGGCCTATGCCTCACTGGTGTCAGGGAAATCTACATACACAAACACAAGTTAGCTACAGTGTGCTCCCCAGCACCACTGAGCTCAGTACTATGGGGCAAAGTCGTCACTGATAAAAATCGCTGCGCATTTTCTTCATTTCCCCACGCAGCCATCATGTGCTCTGTGCTTACTGCCAAGGCCACTATGTTAATGTAAATACCCAGAGGTCTGGTCCATTACCGCAAATGCTCCAGCTCTTCATCCTCACACTGACTGCTTTCACTTGTCTCTCCAATGCAGGACTTCCCACCTGCACTGGGATATGGGTTATTACATTCTCGGGTCCTTATTTTCTTTCCTTCAACACAGGGGCCCCAAGAGGACCAGCAACTCCAACCTCCATCAATCCCTCCTATAAGACAAGAGAGAGGTGCTTCAATGAATTCTGGGAGAGGACAACTTCAGAGCTTGTCACAATGCTTCTCGCCAGGTGTTTACTGGAGAAAGAAACCATTCTGGGGACTGATAAACTCTGCTCTTCACTGGAGTTTTCTACAATAACCAAAAGGGTTCTACACGCTCACTAAGAATATCCACATTAAGGCTGCATCAGTGAACTTCTTGCATGTTTTGAATTTGTTCATTATTTTATAACTGCTTCAAATCACTTTCATGTACACTGTATTACCATTTGCAGTATTTATTTCTCACAAAAATCAAGTAAGGTAGGCAGAAGTCTTCTATCATTTCTATAATATACATGGATTCTAACACAAAGCATTTAATTGCCACATTCAGTGTTGTAGTGTCTACCAAGACAGCTACATTCAGACTAACCAGTCATGGTTGAATCCAGACTTTTGCTCATCCCATCTCAATAAGGCAGATTCCTATAGCTGAAGCATGGACTTGTCATGAAAAGAATATGACGTACTGGGTCTTTCAACCTGCTAACCCCAAAACATTGCCCCTCCCTATCCTCCTACCTCATCTCCCAGCATCTCACCTGTTTCTTGTGTAAAACAGGGAAATGCATGAGCAGGAGGAAGTTTTAAATCCCTGATTCATCCTCCTCCCAACATCCTTCCCCAATCTACAAGCACTTTCTCAGCCCACCCTAACTTCTTTCAACCTCATAGCCTATTTAAGATTTAGGGTTTTTCGGGTGTTTGGCCCTGTCACATCCCTTGGGGAAAACAAGGAAAAACTGCTCTATATTCTAAGAGCCTTGTTCTGGTTAGACAGTGATCTCTGTGATCATTCTCCCAGAGAAATGTTTTCTGACAATGTATCCTGACACAGGAGCATTTTCTGCTACTACACTTCTTCTACTCTGTGACCACATTCCTCTTCTCCCCATTCCACAATATTTCAGTGTTACACACATCAAAACTAAGCCCATTTACATATTTCCAATGACCTTCCTTACACTATCATAACAAGTTTCATTTAATAAAGTAGTCCTGAGTAAGTTAACAAGTGGTTTGAAAAAATAGCTTAATATGTTGTAATTGATACCTTAGTGCTTAGCAGCAGGAGGCGCTTGCATTTTAACAGATAACTAAAAATCGAAGGTGCAAAGAAAAGAACCACAGCGGTGAAATTTCTATTTATTAGGACAGACTTCAGGGTATTTCTAGGGATAAAGATGCCTTCCTGATGCTTGTCAATAAGCAACCATTGTTTAGTTGTGTATTTGTTCATGTATCAAACATGTATGTAGTGATCTCTGAATCTGAGCCTTGTATCAGGCTGTAAGAATAAGGAAAGAAATTGAACAGACCTGACCTTAAGGAATGAACTTCCTGGAGTATACAGACATACACATACCCGTAAGCATAAAAATAAACACTAAGTTGTACACATACTCTGTCCACTAACACCACTAATAGCTTCATATCACCCTGTCCTGAGTGTTGGAAGCACCATGCATGCTACTGAACTCAAAACAGATGTTCAGTAAATACTTATGAATGAATGATTCATAGTACATTATGCAAAATAGAAGTAGAAATGATTCAAAGAACTTGCTGTCACAAATGTTAGGCAAAGGGAATACAAGCTCCATAGATCTGTGTTGCAGCAAAACATTATGAAGATAATTATGGAAAGATGGAAAATATTTTAACCATATTCTGTTTTCCTATTTGAATAGAGAATGGGGAATAGGACCACAGTGGGGCTATTAATTAATGTAGATAAAAAGAAAACAGCAAAAAGTAACTATAATATAGGTTTGGACAACGGAGGGAGATTCTAAATTCAAATGTGATTTCACTTCTTCATATATCAAGAAGGACATCTCAAGGCCAGAAAGGGTTCATTCCTTTTTCAATATATTCATTACAACCAAAGAAAATTCAGCACTCTGACCTTCATGATTCCCTACGAGGACTCCTTGCTCACACGCCACACCATTGGTGTATGGTTTGCAATGGCACTGACACTGGGTCCCCACAACGATGGCCATGCCCCCGTTTTGACAAGGCCGGCAATGGCAGGGGTCAAACTCATCCAGGTACTCCTCGAGAGCTCGTTTCAGATACAGTCTTTTCACAGAGGCACAAGGTACTTCCTTTACCAATTCATATAGAGGTGTTATCTACACAAATAAAGAAATCAGAGTCAGTGTGCAGAGCTTTAGGTGACAATATTTTTATTTTCACATTAGCCACAATCTCTGTAGAAGAGATAAATCCAAAGCCACTCTTAAACTCATTGTAGTAATCCCTCCTTTTCTATCAGGGATTTGTCTCAAGGTCCTACAAATGTTAGAAACCATGGATAGTATCAAGCCTTATGTATGCTATATTTCTCTATAAAAACATGCCTATGACAAAGGTTAATTTGTAAATTAGGCATATCAAGATGTTTTAAAAATAACTAATAATAAAATAAAGTAATTATACTGTAATAAATATTATTTAAAACCTATGAATTAAGGGCCAGGGATTTGGCTCAGTGGTTCCACTGCCTGCCTCACAAGAGCAAGAGACTGAGTTTGATCTCCAGAACCAAAAAAAAAGAACCCATGAATTGAGCAGGGTACGGTGACAGACTCCTATAATCCCAGCACTCTGGAAAGTTGAGGCATGAGGATTGCAAGTACAAGCCCAGCCTGGGCCATTTTACTTATATCAAAATAAAATAAATAAAATTTAAGGGTTGGGGACGTAGTTCAGTGCAAAAATCCTGAGTTAAATCCTCAGTACTAAAAAAATATTTCTGAAAGTTTCCATTTAATATTTTCATACCACAAGTGACCTGAAACTGAAACCAAGGAAAGTGAAATTGAAGATAAGGGGGAAATATGGTACAATAATTTTTAAAGCACTAGTGGAGGGGGTTAAGGGAGAGCAGGGGTATGGGGAAAAAGTGAGAACCAAGATATATCACGTGAAGATACAGGTCTGAATGATAAATGTAACTGTACTGTATATTTTTAAAGTACCAATAGACTCAATGGGAAAAAAAAGAAAATGAAAGCAATTAACTCTGTTGGCAACAAAATAAAGACAAACCTGAATTAGTTAGCAGAGGAATATTTTCTTAGATTTTGTATGCTATGCATGTATAAAATTTTACAAAATAGAAAACTCATTTTTTACTTAATGGATGATTATTTTGAATACAACATAGTACCACCCTCATAGCAAACAGAAAGAAAAAAAAACAAATGCAGTTAAATTACAGCAAAGCAGCAAATGGCATGAAATTCAGAATTAAGTTTTCTGCCTCTAAGATACTTCACATTTTTTTTAGTGGAGACAGTGGACTTTCTCCTGAAGAAGGTAGATGCTATTTCTCTATGTTGGATGTTTCAGAAGAAAAGCAACGTAGAAATCAGACATGTGCTGAAAAAATTTATACAGTCAGCTCTTCCAGGAGAAAAGGCTCTGGTTTACAGCACTTGCTAATTCAGTGTCTTTTACCCTGACCAATTTCAGGCCACCATCAGAATGTCACTAAGCACACAACTGAGAAGAGGTGCCCACCTTTGGCTCTTCTGAGCAGGCTGCATCGCATGATCATAGATCTACATGATGTCTTTTTCTTTCACTGTTCCTTCCTTGCCCAACCAGTAAGTCAGTACAATATAAGGGCTTATAGTCCTTTATGAAAGAGTACATAGTTGAACCCGTTAAAGAATAGTTGGTTTTCCCTAATGAACAATTTAAACATTCTAAAGAATATATAGGGCACTGACAATGAAAACAAGCCATTTTAAATGTTTACAGATGGCACTTTCAGAAGTTTCTGGAAAAAACTCACCCTTTCACCCTCGGCCTTATTCAGAGGAAGTGAGTGCGGGATGGTGCTAGGAGAGTACTTGAAGAGCTATTGTCAATTTTCTGAGTATATGGAACATATCCAAGTCTAAAACTTTGAAAATCCGGCTTTTCTTGAACTCTCAAACCAGGGAATAGATCATAAAATCAGCTCCCCTACTGCTTTAAAAGTGTGGATTTGTTCCATTAAGATTACTGTATTAGGGAACCATTTGAGCATCTCAAAATTCTTGCATTTTCTTATGTTTAATTTTAACACAGGGAGAGCAACAAAAACTCCATGCAGCCCAAACAGTCCCCATAAGTGTGTGTAAAACACACCTGCACACACACACCTCTAACATCTCCATCAATTCACCACCTGGGTTAGAAACTACACCCATCCAGCTGGTGTTACATGAGCTTTCCGATTGTTGCCATCACTCCTTAACTCACAAGCTGTCACCCTTCCTGCACCCAGCAAGCTTCAGACCTCCCTCTAGGTAATATGCCTCAGTTATTACATATATATTTATAATATATAATATTTAATATTATATGAATATTATGATATATAATATTTATATATTATATATATAACTGCAACTGTTTTATTGATATCCTCTTATGAGCATCACAGATGATATTTTTTAGTGTCTTGTCCCTAACATTACTTTTTCCTAAAAGCCTTGTGTTCTTTATTGTTCAGCTTTGCATAGCACAGTGATTTTGGTGAACACATATGTTGTGTTATAAAAGAACTGACTGCATCAGTAAAACATTCTTAATTCTGCCAGCCAATCTGGTGCTATCTTCAGGAGCAGATGAGCTATGACCACAGGAGGAAGGGTAATCTGATCTGACAGATGTAATAGCAGGCAAGTCTAAATGTCTTTCTCTTGACAAAATCCATAACTCCTCTGCATTAGGAACTGAGAAAATATAATCAAATTTAGGCCAAAAGTTTAAAATATAAATTTCATCTTTAATTTCTCTTGAGAGTTACAAGACATTTAACCTTTACAACAGAGACATAAAAATACCAGATACCATACCTTCTGTTTCTTATTATTATGTATGCATTCATTTTACTATATAAAACATAAGTGGGACACAGAAAATGCTAATTACAGAAGACTCTGTTTGGTCACCTTGATTTAATCTCATTTTCCCAATACAAATAAACATGACTGCTTCCTACTGCTTTTAACAGAGCATCACCTACCTTTTGTTTTACGACTTGGGGAAAATTAGGCACGGATTCTGCCCAGGCAGAATATCTCCTTTTGTTCCCAGCAGGATTGTTTAGATCCAGGAAACTAAGGCCAGATACGAGGGCTGCACTTCCCCCTCTGACAAATGGTTGTCCTTTCAACACATTGCTGTCAGTTCCTACACAGGAGAAATCCACTGTAGTAAGTCAGAGTGCATAAATAAAATGACAATAAGAACATTGAAGTGAAAAGTCTATCAAGAGCTTTTTAAAAATCTATCAACTGTATGGTATTCTGGGAAAAGCAAAATCACAGACATAGTAAAAAAAAAATGAGCAGTGGCTTGGAGAAGCGGGATAAGTAGGCACAGCACAGAAATTATTCTGTGTAAATACCATAATGGTAGATAGATGCTATTTTACAGCTTTCAGAACCCATAAAACATACACCAAGAGCAAACCCTAATGTAGATGAGGGTTGAGTGCTAACGATGTGTCGGTGTAGATTCAGCAGTTCTCACAAATGCTCTGCTCTGGTGGAGAATACGGAGAGAGGGAGAGACACTGCAGGTAGAGAGGGCAGGTAGTCTATGCCAAATCTGCGGACTGTCCTCTCGACTGAGCTGTAAACATAAAGCAGCTCTAAAGAGTTAATAAAATTATTTTTAAAAATAAAGAAAAAAATAATTTCCTGACAGTGGTTGATATTGGAAAATTATTAATGTTTTTAATGTTCTTAGTATAATAGGAATATCATTTTTGTAGGAGAATTGTCCTCAGAACGTGTATGCATATATTTAAGGATGAAGTAATATGTCAAAATTCAATTGCAAATAGCTCAACAAAAATTATAAACATTTAAAATATGTGATATATATACATTGCTAAATAACCATACAATATTATAAATATAGCAAAATGTCAAAATAATAACTGTATATAAGCAATGGGTATAAGGATATTAAACACTACATATGATGAAATATTTTGTAATAAAATGTTGGAGGGAAAACAATCCTTGCAATTGGTATATTACCAATAAAAAAAACTGTTAATTAACAGGAATGCATTACCTAACACATAAAAAGTGTTCTGAAAAGTTTGAATGCTAATTGAATTATTTTTCCCATTTACATGCCTCATAACTTCAGAAATATTTTTATCTCCACTTGTAATTGATTTTTACAAAGGTCATGACTAGAAATTCTTAACTGTACAAATCGCATTTTGACTGATTTCCATTTCCTTTCTTGTAACTGCGCAATTTGCAATTTCATAAAAATGAGCATATTGTACTTTTATAATGAGAAATGATAAAAGCCTGATGTTTTAAATAAATTACCTGAGTGCTTCATCTTCATTAGTAATTAAGTTTTTACTATGCAAATAGTCACCTTTTTAATACAGTGTAACAAAAAGTCCAGGCCCTGAACTACCAAATCACAAGTAGCCGGGTGACTGCTTATTCCTGAGCCCAAACCAAAGACTATGAAGGAACCCATGAGAGAAACCTTCAAATCAGTATTTCATTAAGCATTCCCAAGTGATCTCCTGCACACTGAAGTTTGGCAATCATTGCCTTAATCAAAACACCTGTTTAAGGACTTCAGCTTTTAAGAAATTGGTATTTATGTTATTTTAAACATGTAGCCTCTATCTCCATATGCCAGCAAGTCTTCTGTCCTCTTTTTCCTAGAAAAGGTAGCACAATGCCCCAGTGAAGAGCCCAGGTTGGGAAGCCTGATTTTGTGTGCTTGCATCTCATGTCTGATTCTTACTAATTGTGATCTTCACCAACTGTTCTGTCTCATTGGCCCCATCTGTGAAATGGAAGTGTGATTAAAATCTAACTCTTAGCTAGGAAAAGTACATATATATATATATTTTTTTTTTGGAAATTGCTTAAAATGTGCTGAACACACAGTAAGAGGTCTGTGTTTGTTATATACAAAATAAAATCAAACAGCAGCTTCCCATCACCAGCCCAGTTGGTAATGTCAACATCTTCCCAAAGATCACATTTCCATCTCTATTTCCAGAACATTATTTTACAACTCATTCCAAAACTTTTCCTCTTTTGTTGTGTCAACAATCTGAAGATGAGCAATTGTGGCATATTCAGTGCTATATCCCCATGCCTAAAACAAGTTCTGGCACATACTAAAGATTCAATAGTTGATGAATGAAATAAGTGAATGAGTACCTGAACCTGGTTTTGACTAATCTGTCTTTCTCCTTCTTATAGTCCTCTACTAATACCCGAAGAATTCCTGCTTCCTTGCTATCAAGGCACCTGTGCCAGTCTTCAATTTCGCCCCAGTTTTTGCCATCACTCAGAAGAATTTAAGCTCTAATTCTTCTCAGTCCCTGCCTTACACAATGCACAAAAGTCTCATTTTTGTTTCCACAACACTACAGAATCTCTATTTTTTTCCTGGCAATTAAGTTATAATATCCAAATCCAATGGACATATTTCATTTTTTATCTTTCTTAACTTCTCTCTAGCACTTCATTCTGTTGATCTATCTCTCCTCTACTTTCCATCTCTTCTGCTTCTTATCTTAATCGATCATTTATTCTCCATCCCCCATCTTCCTCTACATTTAATCAGTCCTTGTATTAAATATTTTAATAGCATTGATCAGGGTTAAACCCAAAGTCCTTAGCATGGTACCTGTTTCTGTCAGTGCACCTTTGCAGTTTCCTCTTTGATCACTCAAAGATTAACATGTCAACTTTTCCACCCCCAGCAGCATACACCAGAAGCCTTAACTGCACCAAATGCCCTTGCCACAGAATAAAACTGAATGTTCTCCCAATACTGTCACTTTTCTAGACTTCCTGCTGACCATTATAGGGGAGGGAAGTTGTTGACATTGAGAACATATTTGTAATACAGAGGAGGTACCCACTCTGCATAATTTCTCACTTTCATGACAAATGTAAAGGAGAGAAGAAGCAAAAATAACCAAATACCTGAAAAACACAAAGTAGAAGACCCGATAACATTTTAAAAGCCTTAGAAGACAGAAACAGAGAGAGGAAGAGAGAAAAGATGGAGGGAGGTAGGGAAGGAGAAAGAGAGAGGATTAATTAAGGTTTATTTACCTGAAGCTGATTGTAAACCCCTTCCTAGTTTCTTGCATTTGTGCTCTGATGATGACCCAAAGATAAAATTGAAATCTGAGGCAGTACATTTCTCCTCATCTCCTGAACTTGTACCTGGGGTAGGGGAATGCAAAAGAGATGTCCTTAGTGTCTGCATTTATTGAATAACTTCTGTAGGTTGTATCCAGATATAGGTTTGTGTATGCAGGTAGTGTCCTACTACTATGGCCATTCAGTCAAGAATGTAGATTTTCAAGTGCTTGAAAGAGTCAAAGTTCAGGAAAAGAGATATTTGTTTTGTGTTATTTTCTTTCTGTTAGTTTTGGCCAGACAGGAAAGAAGTTGTGATTTCAACGTGAAACAATGGACAGAGAGGAAACTGAATAATCCAGAGGATGACATCTTTTACTCATTCACAGTGAACATTAAACAAAAAGATAAACATAGGAGCATGCTGGGTTCCAATCTCTCTATAGGAGATTCCAAAAGCTGAATTCTGGTTCTATACTGATTAATTTCTAGAACCCTAATTCTACTGAATGCATCTCCCTCTCTCACCATCATTAATATCTGTGGTAACTAAATTCTTCCCAAAACTTATAACTTTAGAATGTGACATTTCTACTTATTAGCAAACATTTTGCCAATACACTTTTACAAAGGAAGATAGAAATTAATAAAATTTGGGCTGGAGGTATACCTCAGGGGTAGAGCCTGTGCCTAGTATGCACAAGACCTAGTTCAATCTCCAGTATTGCAAAAATGAAAGTGTGAAAATGTATTTCTGACATAATCTTATAGCTATATTAGGATATCATCAGTGATTCCTAAGAACAAATTATATCCCAGAAGTTGATATTATATTTAAATTAGAACTTTACAAAGAGCATAAACTTGAGTATAAACTGCTCAAGTGTAAAAGTTTATTCAAAAATAATAATTTTACAAACATGACAAAATTTCTAAACCCCTCTGTTTCTTTTAAGTGCTATGGAATTGGTTGGTGCCTGAAATTTAAATTTAGATCAAGCTACTCAGTGGATTGGTTTTTCAGAGAAACCATGCCTCTTACTTTGCTACATAATCCTGTGGATGTGCATGCATTCCAACCTGTGAAATTAAGAAAGTTCAAATTCTAGTTATATCTCATAATACTCAGTTAAATTTTATCCAGGAGAGAACTACAAAACATAGTCCAATGAAACCACAGAAAAATATTATGTTACTCACAAAGAAAAGCTATAAGACCTCTTTCAAATCAGGTAAGAAGTTTTATTCTTTTCCAAAGTTGTAATAGAATCTTTATTGATGAGAAAGACCCTGAAGACATGATTTGGAATGGAAAAGGAAGCATTGGCATCAGCTACAGGACAGTTAGAAGGAGATTTGACTTGAAACATTAGTAAGCCAAAATTTTTCAAAGAGGAGGAGTACATGTTAAGATATCGATCCCACATCTGAACAGATGGCAAGGCTCCCCTTGATATGAAGTTAACACCCATGAATTCAGTAGTATGCCCTGATTCTAAGAAAAATAAGGCAATTACAGCAGCAAAACAGCATATGGAACAAGATAAGTTGACACTGAAGACAGTGTCCTGGGTTTAAATTCTCTTACAATCTGTGACCTTAGATGAGTTCTCATCACAGCATTCACTGAGTCTCTTACTTCTCAATCTGTGGAATAGGGATCATAGTGCCCATCTCACTGGGTGGTAATGACAATTATAGATAACAATGGAACTCACCTGTTCTGAAGTAGGCAGCCAATAAATTTAAGCTATTATTACAAGTATTTGGTAATAAGTAAACATGATATTCAAAGCACATTTTTAAATGAATGATAAAGAACATAAGTAAGTAAAACATTTCTTTAAAACATTTTGATTTTTAGAGTATCAGTAAATTCCTCATTTAGCTTTCTTCAAGAAATATTATTTAATATGAGAAAGGTTATAAAGTATTCTAAAAATCCAAACACCTCTGGAGACGGCCAATAACAATAATGGTTTAACTCAGGTTATTATTCAAAACAGTAGGTAGCCATTTCTTAAACTATGCAAGATTTTTGAATAGAATATAATGGATTCTTGCAATTTGGAACTCTTTTGCAATTTAAATCTCCATCAAATTTTAAAGCTCAGAAGTTTAAGTTAACTACATGTTATTCTACATTAAAATCCCTGAAATGTCTTTAGATGATAATTTTTTAATACTGTACCACTTTGTTTGGTTTTCCCTGAGTCCACGTAGAATAGAACCTTGTATTCTCCTCCCATAGACCCAGACTGCAGAAAATGCGTCCCATATTGGTCAATTAATCTTCGATAGGCACTGTAGTCATACAGGGAAGGAAGGTAAGAAAGTTCCTTCCAGAATGGCTCAGCCAGTTGTAAAACTTCTGGATTGTTATTAATGAATTGAGCCACTTCAACAGTGTTCTGAATAACCAACAAATGATAATTCTATGGGAAAAAGAAAAATATAAAGAGTTTTAAGAAAAAGATAAAAAGTTTACTGAAATATTTCCCTGTCCATGTCTCCATCAGCTGTCACCACCAATCAACCCAGGCTATATAAATTTTTATTTTTAATGCATGATGAGGCCTTTTGGGAGCCCATCATCTTGAAGAAATCTAAGAAATTTTGGTGTCCCCAGTAGGAATAATATCTGAATGACATCCTGGTAATTTATTTAACATATAACCACTACAACTCCAAAACCAACTTGCTATCTCCTCCTCATCTAGGAAAGGTGGAGCAACTTTATCTACTGCTAATGAACATCACAAATAAGTACATAAAATAATGTGGCTTGAGGGTCCATATCTTGACCATGACTTACAGGTAAGATGACTACATAATTTATCCCCCACAATAGTGTGATTATACACTAAACTACTTTATAATGCGGTCTTTTAAATAGTTCCTAAGTATCTTTAATGATATCAAAGACAGATCTACCTTATATAATCCCCACTATGTGAACAATATGATATTCAGATGATAAGTGTTCCTAACAGCTCATTACTCCCACAACTGTATTAGACATGAAACAAATAAAATTAATATACTTTATCGCTTCTTTGCATGATTTGTTAACTAAATTACTGACTTTAAGGGTAAGATCAAATATACAGATTGTGAGATGATCAACCAGAAAAGTTCTTTTATTGTAAGTATGTCAGTTAGTACAATCCATCTTGACTGCTCAGATTTCCCAATGTGAAAGCTTTGGTATTTCAAAATGAGGTCTTTTAAATTCTTCAGATGAAATTTTTGGTACCTCAAAAATTTTAATGTAGTTTAAAAATATTTTACCTTCACACCTCTTCTAAAAACACTCTAGCATTAACTTTTAGGAAACAAATTTTAAATATCTGCATTTTCTAACATTGAAAATAGCACTTAAAATAGTGACATCAGCATCAATGAATAAGAATTTTAAGACTTTTTTTCTTTTTTGGGTACTGGGGATTGAACTCGGGTCCTTGTGCTTGCAAGGTAGGCCACCAGAACCGCTGAGCTAAATCCCCAGTCCATGACAGTTTAAAATAGATGATTTGAAGATAAGTTTAAGGTCCTCAAATAAGAACAAATGCTTTAACAAGAAAACAAAAATATAAATAAAAATTAGCAAGCATTAGTGTACCTTTAAGGAAATAATATTTTCTCTTAAAGGAGATGCTATTGCCTTAATTTAAATAGGAAAGCTGATCTTTTGATAAACACACCTTTTTTTTTTTTTTTTTTTTTTTTTTTTTTTTGGTACTGGGGATCAAACTTGGGACCTTGTGCTTGAGAGGCAGGTGGTGGAACAACTGAGCTAAATCCCCAGCCTGATAAACACCCTTTTGTTAATGTTAGCAACACTTAAAACCAAAAATATGGAAAAGTGAGCTGATAGTTCATACTGACCTTTTCCTTGTACTCTTTGTTGAGGTCTGAAGCATAACTGTGTGAAACAGATGATGAAGATCTAAAGAAGGAGCGTCTGTCACTTGATGATGTATGTTTTGTTGATGTATGTTTTATGTAAGACCAACTACTTTCATAAAATTCATAATTAAAATCATTATTTACTTTTACCTACAATGAAAATGAAAATATTTCAAATTATGACTAAATTAAGGCCTTGGGTAAGCCCTAGGATACATTTGTACATGGATGCTTTCTTTATGCTGTCTTCCCCCAAAGACCAACTTCTCCATTGACATAAAACAATTGTAAGAACTTTAACACTAGACCTGTGTGAGTTTAGGGAAAGTTCATTCTATGACCACTCTTTGGTAACAGCAGACATCGATGGGGCCAGGGATTTCACTGAGTTGGTTCCACTGCCTGCTTCGCAAGCACAAGGTCCTGAGTTTGATCCCCAGTACCAAAACCAAACAAACAAACAAACAACAGACATCGAATCAGTAACAGCATCCATTGATTCACAAAACGTGTTTGTGTACAAATATACACCATTTTTCTTTAATGTCAACATTTAGCTTACAAGTAAGTATACTAACATAGCTACACTAAAAAGAACTAAAAAAACATTTTGCTCTTGATATCCCATGTAAAAGAGAGGAATACAGATCCATATAGATGATATGTAGCAATTGCATCATTTGAACTTTGTTCTGGAATATTCTATATGATAGGATGCAGATTTAACATTCCAGTTCTACTTGACTTTAATGAATGTTACCATTCAATTTTGTTCAATGTCAAGTGGTAGAAGAAAAAGACATCCCAAAAGAATTTTAAAGCAGACCATAGTTTACTCACAAGTGACTAAGAAGTGACAGCTTTAGCTTTCATAGAAAGACAGGAATTTATTTACCCTTTCTTTTATGTTACATCAGGTGTCATAATGAAATGCCCACAGAGGCTGGTATGTAATATAAATACTAGGATCATCCACTGAAAATTATAGTTTCAAAAAATGAGTACATATCCTGTCTAAAAGGGACACCCAACAACTGAAACCATCAGACAATCACACTATGTAACTACAAGCTGTAGTATGAAAAGAGTAGCTGATATTTTTCCAAGAAATTCTTGTGTAAACATCTCTTACTTTTAAAAATAACAGTCAATAAATTTCCAAAAAAAATTCTGATATGAATTTTTAAAATGTGTGCAAAAAGTCTCCCTCTGACTGTTTATCCTATATAATTATTTAAATTGAGAATTCTCCATGAGCTCCTGTGTTTTTATTATATACTCTTGCAAATCTGTGTTTGAGATCAAAGCATAAATAAGTACAGAGAAAACAGAAAAGATGGAGAAATACACTTTTAAAACAAAAGTAAAAGGAAAGAAAATGGCAGGATATCATGCAGTCATCCTAAAATGACACTTGTGAAGGCAAAATATTCATGTTGTTGAATTATGAAAGTATAAATGTAAAAATACTATAATTATAACTACATCAATATATGCCCAGTCAAAAAAGACCAGAAGAATATTGATCAAACTGCCAGAATATATTATTATATGACTTTTACCCCATGAGGAAAATTATGTGTACATATCAAAAATGTGCTAGAAAATAGGAAAAGCTGAATTTAATCAGAACTTTCATGAGAATATTATTTCTACTACACCATAAAATTGTTTTGTTTAAAAGCTAGATGAGAAATTCAGCTCAGGCTTAAATGAAGGGTATATTAGTGTGTATGTACTATTATTGACTTAGAAATGTATTATTCATTGGGGCAGATGAGTGAGGAATGCCCAACCACACAGGCACCTCTGCAGCATTCCTCCTCCCACCCCCACCCTGTGATCTCAGGCCTCAGGGTTGTGCCAGTACCTGAACACACTGCAGAGGCACAGGTGGTCAAAAAGGCCATTTTACTGAGCTCCAGAACACAGAATAGAAGTGAACAACTGCAATAAAGGCACGTCAGACCTCTGTGGTTGGTAAGTTGGAGGGATCCCTGCCTTCCATCAGAACATGGGCTATCTTCAGGGGAAGGAGAGCTGGAACCTGCAGTAGGACCTGTCAGAGTTCAACCCTGCAGGAAGTCAGGGAGTTCAGTTTAGGCCTTGCAGCCAGAATTCAGACTGAATAGCAGGGGTCTTCCATTGGCTAGCTGAGAATAATTGACTTAATTCTGCACATTGCAGCCCACATTCTGTATCATAAAAGCAGAGATATACCATGAAAGAGGTGGTCCAATTTTTTTTTCTTTTCTTCTTATTTTTAATCTTTAATATTTTTTAATTTTATTTTTCCCATTCTGCAAATTCTTCCTTTTTTCTTTCTTCTTTTTCCCACTCAGTCTCTTGCTCCTCCATGATATTCTTCATCTCCCTTTTGTTCCTGTTCCTGCCCTAACTCTGACTTCTTGTTTCTTTTTCTTTTCTTCTCTCTTTTTTCCTTTACCTGAGTGTCATTAGTTTCAAAGGAAAGTGAGTATAATTGATAGCTTCCCTGTTACTGTTAAGTTGTTCTAGCTTTGTCTTTGCTCTTGCACTCTGTCTTTCCCTCTTGTCTTCAACAGGTTCCTAGAGTTTGCGTGATCATCTTGTGTCCTCTGGCTTCACTTGAAACCTTCTCATATTCATATTCTCATATTCCTATCTATTCCACTCCTCCCAATTTCTTCTAAGTCCCTATCCTGAAGGGTAAAGTTGCTATATTAAAGAGTTTATTCACTATAAACAAATTTTGGGCTGTTCCTTGACTTTGATTGCATTCATATGGTTAAAGGTGATACATTAATAACTATCACAAATGGTCAATTTCTAAACTGTGTTTTATTCTACTGTGTTGCTGATTGTATCAATTGGGCTAAAGTGTTGTGATTGATCTAATCAGTTTTTCTCCCTGGTATAATGAAAATAAGAATGCCTCAGACACATAAGAGTCTCAAAACCTAAAGACCAGCTATATCTGGAAAATGGAAGTATTAACCCAGGAATTAAACCAAGGACAAGACCAATGACAAAAATAGAAATGAAAAAACATTTAAACAAGAAACAAACACAGACTTCCACCCCACCAAAAGTAAATTCTGGAGGAAACGAACTGGAAAAGTGACAGTCAACCATCTGCACACCCTGAACTGATAGCACAGGAAGTAACAAAACAGATCAATCAGACTCTAGAAAAATCCAAAACAGACTAATTTCCCAGATAACTACAGAGATGACAAGCACAGTGAAAGGCATAATTAGACACTCAAGAACAGAATCAGACAAAAAAAAATAGATGAGCTCAGGACCATGATAGAAGCTATGAATGTCCAGCATAGGAAAGAAATGGAAACCATGAATGCACAATGTGTGAAATAAATGGAATCAATGAAACAGATTCAAACAGATATCCAGGAGATTAAAAAAAAAAACTCTATTAAAAGCATTCACAGCAGGATGAACAAATGTGAAGGTAGAATTTCTGATATAGAAGATAGGATTAAAGTCAGAGACCAGGAAAAGAGAGATTTCTTAAAAAACAGTAAGAGATCATGAGAAATTGATACAACGACTTCTAGATAATGTACAGAATAATAACATCAGACTGATAGGAATCCATGAAGTAACAGAAGAAAATACAAATGACTTAAAAAAGCTGTTCACAGAATTAATGACAGAAAACTTCCCAAACAGAATAAAAGAATTTGACATACAGATAAGTGAGTCATATAGGACTCCAATTAGCCATCATCAAAAAAATCTATACCTAGACATATAATAGACAAGATCCCAGAAACCCAACACAAGAACAAAATACTGCAAGCAGTTACAGAAAAGAAACAAATCACATGCAAAGGAAAGCCCATCAGAATCACAGCAGACTTTTGAACACAAACCCTCAGGTCAAAGAGAGCCTGGAGTGAGATATTTCAAGCCCTAAGAGAAAAAAATCTCCAACCCAGACTGATATATCCTACAAAACTCTCTTTTAAAATGAACAGGGAAATAAGATACTTCCATGTCAAAGAACACTTGAAAAATATCATGAATACCAAACCAGCACTACAAACAATTCTAAACAATATCCTAGAAAAAAAACAATTAAGGTCACAACACCATGAGGCCCAACAGAACAAATCATTTAGGTAGGCAAGAAACTAAAGGGAGAGGGGGAAAATTAAAAAGATCCAACAGGACAATAACATGACAATGATAAGTCAATACATATCAGTTATAACCATCAATGTCAATGGTCTCAATTCACCAATCAAAAGAAATAGACTTTCAGAGTGGATTAAGAAGCAAAATCCAAGAATATGTTGTATACAAGAAACACATCTAGTTCAAAAAGAAACTCATAAACTAAAAGTAAAAGGATGGAAAACAGTTCTCCATGCAATAGGAGACCCCCAAAAAAAGTGGGGGTAGCTATCTTATTTGCAGATGAAGTAAATTTCAAACCAAAACTGGTTAAGAGAGACAAAGAAGGCCACTACATCCTTGGAAAGGGAACAATCCAAGAGGAAGAGATAACAATCATAAATATATGCACCAAATATTAATGCTCTCAACTATATAAAACAAATATTAAGGGACACGGAAAACCAAATAAGCACTAATACAATTGCAGTGGGGGATCTAAATGCCTCACTATCACAAATAGATCATCTAAAGAAAAAAATCAACAATGAACTGAACCAAGCTTTTGAACAAATGGACTTAATAGACGTCTACAGAGTTCCACCACACAAAATCAGAATATACATTCTTTTTGGCTGCACATGTGTCAATCTTCAAAATAGATCACATGTTAGCTCATAGAACATGTTAAATAAATGCAAAGGATTTGAAGCTATCCCATGTATATTATCAGACAATAGCACAATTAAACAGAAATCAATAGCCTAAGAAACTGTAAGAACTTCACAAACATGTGAAATTGAACAACACTCTCCTGAACATTCAATGAGTCACAGAGGAAATTAAAGAAGAAATTCATCAGTTTTTACAAATAAATGATGATGCCAATACAAAATACAGGAATCTATGGGACACAATGAAGGCCATTCTGCATGGAAAGTTCATAGCAGTGAATGCTCACACTAGGAAAACAGAGCAAGATCAAAGAAACATCCTAATGATGAATCTTAGGCTTCTAAAAAAGAAGAGCA